ATTCCAGAGATTGGAAGCATGTGTTTCTTGGCATAAACCATCTTTGTATGAAAATAGCAGCCCTGCCCTTTCCCCACTGCAAGCCCAGCCAGCTGAGTCATGAAAAGGCCCCGAACCCCCAGGTGCACACAGCCCAGGTCTCCTGGGGACCAGTTCTCTGACCATTTCATCACAGAGAACTTATGTTGAAACTAGGGCAAACTCAAAAGCAGTTTCGCTTGAAATATGCAAGTGTCTGTTGTTTCTATGGACTTGAGTGGGCAGGCTGCATACTGGACTTCCCAGATGCTGCTTACTATTGCAGCTGTTCTTACTTTAAGCCCATTTATGCATATATGTATGTATGTATGTATGTATGTATGCATTTACTCATTTATGTTAATCCTCACCTGAGGACATTTTTCCCATTGATTTTTAGAGAGAGAGTGGAGGGGAGGGAGGGAGAGTGAGAGAAACACATTGATTGGTTGCCTCCTACTCCTGCCCCTACTGGGGTGGGGGATGGAACCTGCAACCCAAGTACACGTCCTTGACTATGAATCCAACTCAGGGCCCAAGTTCTAATCACTAAGCAACACTGGCCAGGGCTAAGCCCCTTTAAAATGTAGCCAACACTGTTATTAATTGGGAGAATTACCCACATCACGAACTTTTTTACAGTTCAAGGGTATTTGGTGTATCTTGTCTTAAATAATATGACATTCTATTCAGTTAGAACCAAAGTGGAGCTAATTCTTCAATTTTTTTTTTACCACAACTAGGAGGTAGAGAACAAACATAAAAAAGACTTTCCATAAGCATTTAAAATGTATATCACTGTTGGCTGAACTTGAAAGTGTTTCAGATTCTTATGAATGAATAATATCCCCCATTTTAGTATAGTTCTTTGCTCAGTGATGTGAGGATAATTTCCCACATAAGATGATTATAATGCTCTTTTATAAGCCGGGGACTCTGAATTCCATGCAAAATCTCATGTGTGACAGAATATCAATCACTATCTCCCAAAACAAACACACAAACAACAGTCCCAGCAGAAGATAATATTACCAATGTGCTGAGTTCTTTGAGATAATCTGATCTTTTAAACGAGTGGTTCTCAACCTTCCTAATGCCACGACCCTTTAATACAGTTCCTCATGTTGTGGTGACCCCCAACCATAAAATTATTTTCGTTGCTACTTCATAACTGTAATTTTGCTACTGTTATGAATCGTAATGTAAATATCTGATATGCAAGATGTATTTTCATTGTTACAAATTGAACATAATTAAAGCATAGTGATTAATCACAAAAACAATATGTAATTATATATGTGTTTTCTGATGATCTTAGGCTACCCCTGTGAAAGGGTCGTTCGACCCCCAAAGTGGTGGCGACCCACAGGTTGAGAACCACTGTTTTAAACCTTATGCTTTGATTATAGCTATACTGAATAAACTTAAAAATTACTATTATGCTGATATTAATCATCAATCACCCTAGAATGAGTTCAAGTTGAAAGGAATCACAGAGGCTGTTATTTTGAAACCAACACAGGGATTACCATGTGCATGCCTTTTGCTGACTACTAAAAAAATTTCATGTCTATTTGAGAATCATTACATTCAAGCTTTGGAAAAGAAAATTACAAACGCATATTTGTATTTCCCAGCATAGATCTCCTCTCAGATGTCTTGATTTGTCTCAGAACTAACATCAGAATTATCTCAACTAATTTCTCTCCTCATGACAATAGTTTAGGAGAATCACATAATCTTATCTTTCCTTCCCTTGTGATACATTTCAAAATATCCTTTTAGACAGTAACCATGTGAAAACATGGATAACATTTTAAACTTCTTTAGCCCTAAATTCCTGCTAATGTTAAAAAAGAGGAAGTGGAAGTTAGTCTCGTATAACCATTCTGTTCCCTTCTAATTCTAAAATTCTGTCATTTTGTGCTTATATGATTTTATTCCCAATGCTATTACATACTGCCCTCCCCATTTCGTGCAATTATAGTGTAACTGTTCTCTGCTCATCCAGACTAGCTATGTTTTATTACATCCGGTGCCCTAACCAGTCATCTTCCAAAATGCCTACCTTCAGCATGCCATCCTTATGCTTGAAGTGCTCTGACCGCACTGCTGACCCGATAGAGTCGACACTTACCATGTGTACTGGGTTCAGGACTCCGCCACCTGGCCATGATGAGTTTTTTCATCTTATGACCGGCCACTCTGTCACTAAATTCTATTACAATAAAATGGGCTAGGAGGCATTTCAGGCTCATGACCTCGGAGAGACATCCTCACTCCCATGCTTTGCTCATTTAGAATGCCCCCCTGTGCTTCTCTCAGATATTTGCATTCCATCTGTCCTGTGTGACCCGACTCAGACTGCATCTCCTTCATGCTCTTCTCCATTAACCTTTCTCTAGTGCATCCCTCTTCTCTCTCCCTAATGCCCTCTCCAAAGTAGGGCCTCCCTAACACTTAATACCATTCCCTTAAACTTTATTGAGGAATGATTAACAAATATAATTGTATATATTTAAAGTATGCAATATGATCATTTGATATACATCTACATTGTAGGATGATTACCAAAATCAAGATAATTCATACCATGCACTTTTTAAAAACCTTTTTATACAATAGTCACTATCACTTATTTTTGATTTATTGTAATATATATTTGGTCTATTTCCAAAATGATGATGAGAGAACTTACTATAGCAACTGCATAAAACAGCATGCCCGTTGGAAATGAAAGTGAAAATTAAAATCCTTATGTGGGAGAGAATAAATAACATGGGTCAGTAAAACTTAAAATGTAGTTATATGTTTCCTGGCAGTCCAAACAAAAAAGAACCCCTTAGTTACCATGTGGCAGTGACTTACTGTTGTGATATTGTACGTATGTATTTTTTTAAACTTTTCATCTGAATGTATCTTGTTGCATAATTCTAATCTTTGCGATTTCTAGAAATTGTTTTAGGGATTACCCTTTGTAGTATGTGTTTAGTTCAGCATAGAAGACTTGAATAAGTGAATTAATTGATGGCTAATGTGATATCAGAATTATAAATTTGAAGCCATTTTATTTATCTAGAAATTCCAAATATGTACATAATAATAAACATATGGATGGAAATGGGAACGTAAGAAGAAGACATAGAAATCTTGGAGGGAGAAGGGTCTGAAGTTGTGATCACTTTAATTAGAGGAAATTTTAAGAAGCATTCATAGCCCACTCTTTTTAGATACTATCAATACAGATATCTCATAATATAGAGCAGCAAACCTTTAGGAATATAAGAAACAAATTCAGTGGAACTAAATGGTATAGACTAATTTATGCCATTAAAGCCAGTGGAATAGGTGGTAAAACACCTTCTTGAAATATAAATTCACGACACAGCCAGTTCTGAGTTTTCTTCCCCTCCCTACATAGCTGTTTTGTGGGATGGAGAGGATACTATAGAGCAAGCATGTCAAACTCAAAGGCCAACACAGGCCAAATAAAGAAGGTTTAAGTTTATGTGGGTGGCAAAAAAACCAAAAGCTTCAATTTTCATAGAAACGTAGGTTTATTTCTATGGAGACATGCTGAATACAAAGGGCTGAAATGAATGAGTAATCATTAACATAAAATAATAGAACATTTTAATAAAAATTAATATTTTTTCTTGAACATTAACTTACCAGACACTGAATAACTGCACAGATTAATAAGCGTGATGCAAATAAACCTATTTTTCTTGTTCTCCGAAAGTGAAATATTTCCTATTGCGCACACCAAACACGTCAGTACAAGACTAATGACGTGGGCTGCTAAAATGGTGCGCCTGTGTGTAAGGTGGGTAAGGGAAATGAATGCAACTCGATTATAGTAATCAGTCATTAGTGAACGTTGTACAATATCCTATAACAGGCTATCGTAAAAATTAAATTATGAAATGTTTATTAAAACGTTTCTTATATACCATTATATTGGCTGGGCCACAAAAATATCCCCTGTGGACCGCATGTGGCCTGCGGGCCGCGAGTTTGACATGCTTGCTGTAGATAATACTATGCTGTTCTTCTCACTGTATATCAGGGTTTAATTTCTTCTACATCCAGAGTTATTATTCTAAACTTGGCATAGGAACCTTTTGTAAAATGCAGGGAACACTCTTGTCTGGTGCTGTCCAAATGCTCTACATCTACTATGCTGTCTCCTATGGTAGCCCCTAGTCTCATGTGCTGGGAACTCTTTGTGGCTGGAGTGACTGAGGAACTGAGTTTTAAATTTTATTTTATGTAAATTACTTATGCTTAAATTTCAAGTGGCTAAGTGGCTACAGAATTAGACAGAGCTGCTTTTACAGAGATGCTTGCCTTTAGAGCAGAACTTTCCTTACCTGATTTGGTACCTTTAATCATAGATTCAATTGATCGCTGTGCATTATCATGTGGAGTTTTAAGCTACCATGCATTAACAGTGAGGCTTTGGATGTCTTTATTATTTTAAGAAATCTGTGCCATCAAAATAAAATTAGGGAAACTCATTATTTATTGTCATGGAAACATAAGGCGGATCACCCCTGAGTAAGTGGGCCTCCCCAATTCTTCTCAAGGCAGATTTTTTCTGTCTTGCTTTGCTCACAGTTCTATGAGCAAGTGGGTGGGGTTTGCTTTCTCGAAGCCAGCAGGAGCTTGCCCTAGCCCTCCCTTTTAATTTCTCTAATATGAGGATCCCCACACTTGCTCTCTGAAATGCTACTTTGTAAACTGCTATTTCCTCTAGGCCTGTTATGCCCTTTTTCCATCTGCATTGAAGTCTCTTTTCCCAGCGGGCTCTTCTTTCTCAGCTTAGTCATGCTGTGTGGAGAGCCACATCCACACTCCTGGCCTCTCTGACTCATCAGGGAGGTTTGCTCGCTCCAGGAACCCCACTCACACTGTGGTGGAACAACAGGGAGGCTCCAGTGCAGCCAGCCCTTCCTGACTCCTGCCTCTTTTCCTGGCATCTCTCCTTCTAGCCCAAAGCTACAGGAGAAGGGGAAAAAGCAAAAAATGCCCTTACCCCTTTTATGGTAATGTTTTTAGTAAATAGTTTATAGCAATTCCCATTTCCAGTTTATAAGCTACTCTGGTTATTGCTGCTACCTTTAAATATCCCATGACCTGGCTAGTAGAAAAACCTACCAAAGCTCCAAATTTCCTCTTTCCCTCCACCAGCAAGCCAAGAGAGTCCATTCTGACAGTTACATTTTCCTTCTAGTTACAGCTTAAATTGTTCCCCTTTTTGAAATCTATTATTCATGAATGTGAACAGTCAGGACTATAGCTTCTTCCATCCTTGGACGGGAGGCCCAGTGGGTGAAGTGGTTCATTCACCCCACTGGCTGCTCTGGGATGGTACAGAACTGGGTCTTCACACGCTATCTTCCAGGCCAGGACTTTTCTTGGCCCTCCTGGTCCCTCAAAGAAAACCCTCTGCCAAGGATGGCTCACGCCCATGATTTCACAATCCAGATGGGTGCAGACAATAAATTCCTCTGAAAGGGTCAAAGTTAAATAACATCATGAAATAAAAAACTGACCCCCAAGTCAGATCTAAGTTTGGCCAATAACCTGTTCAGTTAACCTATGTTTAATCTCACCAAGTACATCCTGAAAGTATAAAAGGGAATTGCAAGGGGAATGTCCTTTTAGCTCAGCGAAAGCTGACCCAGGTAGTCACTAAGAAGCAACTTTCCACATCTAACTAGAGGTTTCTATGGGAGAAACCCAGAGCTGTGCATTATTTGTGATTTTGTAGTTTTGTTCAGTTATGCACAAGTGCCATGTTTTTTCCAGTTAAAACACTCTTCATATATGGATCTATATGAGTATCTATGCATATATTTGCATAATCTTTGTCTTTAGATGAAAGCACTTCTACCCACTTTATTGTGTTTAAGAAAACCACTTCAGTTACTTGATTTTAGCTGAGGGGAACATGCCCACCCTGTGGTCCAGCTTTCACCTTTGGCACATGACCTCAGAAATGACCTGACTGCGTCAATTACTTGTGCAGCGGGCACCACCCTTCACTAGACTTTCAACCTGGGAATGGAGGGGGTGACCTGTTGCGCAACCATTTCACCCTTTCAAGCAGTGGGGTCTGTCTGTTGCTGCGATCAGGCGCTTCATTTGCCAGGAGAAGAGTGCAGTTATATGAACGCCTACAAAGCTCAAGTTAGCTAAATTCCACCTGAACTAAACAGCAGGCTGGGGGAGGGGAGATCAAGCGCAGAAAACGGGGTGTGTGTGTGCGCGCGCGCGGTAAAGGCAGAAAAGGATGCACAGGCTGCTGGCCAGAAGAGAGCTGTCCGGGCCCTGACAGCATCCCCTCCGGGGACAGACCTCCCCTTACCTTGACCACGTGGTCGTTGAGATGCTTGGGGTCACGGTTAACCAGGTCGATCTCCTTGGTATGAGCGTCGTACACTTGCCTCTCGTTCATTTCGTCTGCCATGTCCTTGTTGTTGGGCTTGTAGATGTTGCCCTGTTCCCGGGTGGGAACAGTGTAGAGATGTCCCTGCAGAGGGCGGACGGCCACGGGAGAGAGAGAGAGAAGGGCACCAGCAGTTGGAAGAAATTTTCCAAAAGAAAAACAAGCGATCAGAAGTCAGCCTGGCGGCGGGGCAAGCCTCCAGGCTCAAAATCGAACAAACCGCTCCCGCAGCGGTGGCGCACGCAGGCAACTCCTCGGCGCCGCCAGCTTTTTAAGAGGATCGGGGAGAAGACACCACACCCCTCCTTACCCGGCAGGGAGCGCCAGCCTCCCGCGCCCGCCGCCAGGGGTCAGTG